TGGCACGGCTGCCCAGCTCTGGCACTTCGAGCACCGTTGGAGGGCGCTGAGGCAGCGGCGCGTCCCGGCGCCGCCTGACATCGAGCACTGGCTTGTGGAGCTCGGCTCTCTGCCACCCTTCGCGGAGACAGCGCCGTGGACGGCCGCGCTGGTCCGCTCGATCCTCACGGCGATGGCGAAGCGCGAGGCGCTCGGCCTCGAGGGCTGGATTGTGGCTGAGCTCCGCCTGCTCCCTGCCGAGCTCCTGGAGTGGGTCGCGGAGTTTTTCGATGCAGCGGAGCGTCTTGCTCGATAGCCGGACGAGCTCTGCCAGCCGGAGGGCTTGCTGCGGCCTATAAGGCTGGTGGCGGCGGGCCCATGGACCGCAGGCCAATCTGGTTGCTTCCTATGCTGCACCGCGTCTGGGCTGCAGGCCGGGCGCACTTGTTTGGGCGATGGCGCCTGGCATGGGGCGATGGCGACGGCAACATCGGGTCCGAGGATCCTTCAGATCCACATGGGGGTGGCGGAGACGGGGGGGCGATCAAACCGCCGCTGAGTGAGCCAAGGGGTGTTCAAAACACAACCAAACACGCTCAAAACACAACCAAACGCACGCGGCTGCACAACAATGCGCAACGTCCATGGATGCCGCTATGGAGGAGGGCCGCCACGCGAGACCACTTCGACGCAGCGGGTCTGTAGAATGGGCGCTTTGCAACAATATTTCGGTGCAATCACACAACAGCGTAACAGATATAACGACGCAGAGGTTTCGTACATTTACATAAGCGAACCGCCGCCAGAAGCCTGATCGGACCCCTTGGCGGTATCCCCAAGTCCACTGCGCCTGCAAGCATAAACCAGTTGCAAAATGACGACAGCAACGCATCGTTCCTGCAACGCACAACGTACCACAAATCCGGATCATCATTATTTCGGCATGTGCATCTGTATTTGCACATGCACATGTGCATATGTTTGTGCGCTTGCACTTTGCAACCCCCCCGGAGGACGAGCCCCCCGAGGCGTCCAAAGGCTTCCAGACATCCCCGACGACCCCCGAAGAGCCCAAGCAGACACCAGGGACCACAAAGGGTCTCCGAGGGCTGCCATGGACCTCCGAGGATCGCAAGGGGGATTCCCGGAGACCACCGAAAGCCGCCAGAGGCAGCCGAAGCCCCCCGAAACCCACCGGCCCCCAAGACGATCACCAGGACCGCGAGCCCTGGCGGCTTCCAAGGGTCCCGAGGACCCTGGAAAGGCTCGGGGCTTCCGAGAGCCTCCAGGGGCGGCCGACAACCTGCAGAGGCTTCGGACATGCGCCGAAGACTTCGCATGACTGCCAAGGACTCCAGGGGCGGCCCTAGGAGGGGCGCTGGAGGCCTCCGACGGGGCCACGCCGAAGGGCTTCCCACCGGCGCTTCGGGGAGCCCGCCCTCCCCCGAGCAGCGGGCCCAGGGGGCAAGAGGAGCGGGCGCCGGCCAACCGCCGCCGCGACGACGACGACGACGAGGGGGAGGGGGGAGGAGAGGGGCGGAGGGAGGGAAGGGGGGAGGCAGGAAGGGAAGGGGAGGGAAGGGGGGAGTGATGTAGGGAGGGATGGAGAGTCAAGGCGGGGAGGGAGAGGATGGAGTCAAGGCAGGGAGGGAGAGGGTGGACGGGGGCCCTATCCTCGATTACCTCGAGAGGCAAGGAAGCGGGTCGGGGAGCCGAGGGCATGCCCAGGGACGTCGCGAAAAGGTCTTTTGAGAGAGCAACGGCCCATCAAGATGCTGTTGTGTAGTAGCGCTTTCTCATGTTAAGCTATAGTGAGAGGAATTGAGAATATTTGAGATATTTTGAGAGGAATTGAGAGAAATTGAGAGAAATTGAGATATAATATCCCGGGGACGACCCAAATTGAGAGAAATTGAGACAAAAAGGTTCGCTTGGTGAGAAACTTTGAGACAAATTGAGACAACTAGTGCCGTCTGGTTCAGGACAATTGAGACCGCGTAGCCTGACTTGGCGAAGGCAGCTGAGCGTGTTCGATGGCAAACCGCATCGGAGATCCTCACGGGACCGCGGCCGCGCAGTGGCACCCGGGCGCCATCCTCGCTTCTATTCCCTCCTCCTCTTCCCTCCTCCGCTGTCCACTCCTTCCTCCTCGCCCCCCATCCTTCCTCCCCCTCCCTCCTCCCCCCCGCTCCCCTCCTCCCCCCTCCTCCTCACTCCTCCTGCCTCCCCCCGCCCCCTGGGCAGTGGCGACAGCAGTGAGAGGCGATGCGCTTTGAACGCGAGGTGCAGCGATGACCCTGGCCTGCCCAGGTAGGGGCTTGGGGGGGGCAACGGGGCGGGGAGGGGCGTGCGAGGGGCCTCGGACAGGGGGCCAAAGTACTCTCGTGGAAGGGCCCGCTAGCATGCACCCGTCCCGCGCCAGTCGCGAACACCAGAAACATGAAGATAGCGGGGGCGGTGTCTAAACGAGCAGCAGGGTCAAACCATGCGCCCCCGCGATGTTGTCTCATTGCATCGTGTGCCGTTCTAGCTACGAGGATTCAGACGCGGCCTTGCTCAGAGAACGCGTCGTCTAGAGTGCGATGGGCCTTGACCTGGGATCAAGAAATCCGGGGCCCCGGCGCGACGTGGCCCCGCGCCCTCCAGTAGTGGCTGAAGAAGGTGGCGCCCTTCAAGATTTAGGCGCGCTGCGCGACTCCTCGGAAATGAGCCATGCAATCCACTGCCAATTCTAAGGATCATTCGAGAGCGCGATTTTAATGGCGCATCACTTCGCGCGAGGACAAGGGCCATGCCAGACGACCGTTCCTGAACGCTAATGCGCGCGCGCCCCAAACCTGTTCGCTTCGCCCGAGCACGAAGCCGGCCGTCACGAAACCCGCCCAATCACCAAACTGCAACATGGGCACCGCGACGGTGAAAAACTCGCGCGCAATGGGCACCCTCCGAGGAAGATAAAGATCATCTCGCGCCGGACGGCGCGCTCAACTTTCGCCCCCCCCGTCGACGCCACCCCCATGTGGATCTGCATGAGAGGAGCTCGCTTGGGACCTCGCGCTGGAGCTCGAGGCCGCGGAGGCCGCGGGCGAGGCCATCTGCGGAGGCGCCCTGGACTGGAGAAAGGCTTTTGACCACGTTAGCCTGCAGCTCCTGGAACGGGTGCTGACTCGGGCCGGCGTTCCTGAATGGCTGCGCGGGCCTCTGCTTGCCACCTACACGGCGCATCGCCGACTTCGCGTCGATGGTGCCCTTGGCCTCCCGTGGGCGCCCACCAGCGGTATCCTCCCTGGATGCGCGCTGGCCGTTTTCGTGCTGAGCGTCCTGGTCCAGCCGTGGTACCAACGCACCGGGCGCGTGCGCGATGGTCTGAGGCGCCGCGTGTACGTTGACGACCTCACGTTGTGGGCGCGGGGCGACCCGGACGAGATCGCCGAGGCCGTCGCAGAGGCCTTGCGGACCACCCGGGCTTACGAAGGTGACATGGATAGGCGGCTGCATGAGGTGAAGGGCAAGCAGCTTGCTAACAAAGCGTCGGTGCGGCGGTGGCACGAGCACGAGATGCACGTGGCATCAAAAACGATTGACAGTGGTCGCGGGATGGCCGCGCATGATCCAGATTCTGCCGCGAGGTGCATGCTGTATGGTTTTCTGTCAGGGATGGTAGCCCTGCGCGCAGCAGGGGATCTGCTGACATCCCCGCCGCCCTTGTCAAAAACACTGCGAAGTGCTCGTGGGCCTCGCGAACATGACTCAAGTCTTTGCCCCGAACTGTGCTGTGCATTGTTTTTGTGAAAGCTATGGTGGGGGGTGGGGCCGCATCGGGTTGGCCGCGCATGCTCCAAATTTTGACGGGGATGATGGGGGGCGGGTGGTCGTGGTGTCGGCATGGTGCCTGGTTGGTTTCCGGTCGCCTGGGGGAGGGGGTGTATACTAATAAGGAACAGTGATAACCCCTCCCCAAAGGGAACAAGAGGATGGATGGAAGTGGAAACGCCCTTAACCACCTACGCCCAGAGGGCTGGTTGGCTTCAAGCTTCTGGATCAGAACGGGATGTCTCAGGCGAGAGCCCGGCCTGCCTTACCCAGTACCTGGGGGCGCGATTGGCACCAGTTCTTCATAACGAAGAGGTGAGGGGAAAACAAGAAGATGAGGAGGAGGAGGAGGAAGAGGAATGGAGGCGGAGGATTGGCAGGATAATTTTATATCGGTGGTCTAGCGCCGGTCAGTCGGCGACGTATCGCCGATCCAAGACCGATGTTGCGCTGACTCAGCCTGGCGTCCATTGCCCGCGGGAAACCCAGCCGCGGCCGGGCGCGGGGAAAGGAGGAGGAGGAGGAGGGCCGCGGAGGTTACCTAATTCTTTCGGTCGTCCCCCCTCCCACCTGCACCCCGTAACCCCACCTGCACCCCGTAGCCAGCGCATGTTTTCGCCTTTGGGTCTGCATTCTTTATTGTCGGTTTCAGGCACTGCCCTTTTTTTCTGCTGCGCTTGCCACGCTCAATTTGTCGCGCTACGCCTGAGTCGGCAAGTATCTGTTCTCGTCCCATAGAACGCTACAGCCCATCGAATCGAGATCGTGCAACATCAAAAGGACCGCGGAGGCACTGGCGAAAGCGGAGGTGACGGCAGAGCATGACCAGGAGGAGTATGGAGCAGATCGCGGAGGGGTTCCCCTCCTTCCTCTCCTCCCCCCCTTCCCCTCCTTCAACATCTGTCGTTTCTATCGTCTATTTCTCTGTCTGTCTGTCTCTCTCTCTCTCTCTTTCTCTTTCTCGTTTCGTCGTCTCGTTTCGTGTTTTTTTTTTTTTTTGTTCCTCTCTCTCTCTCTCTATACATCGTCTCTCTCGCCCCTGTCCTGCTCTCACTCGTCTCTCGCTCACCCTCTCTCTCTCTCTCTGTCTCTCTCGTCTGTCTCGTCGCTCTCTCTCTCTCTCTCGCCCGCTGTCTCGACCGGGGATCCGCAGCCACGGGCAGTCGCACCCGCCCGAGGGATCCCCTCCCCCCCCCGGTGCGGCGCAGGAGGAGCTCCAGGAGGTGCCGGCGACTCGCGAGGTGCCGTCCCCCCTGTTGCCCCCTCGGGGCCGGGGCGAGGAGGTCGACGTTGGACGTCGTCGTGGGCAGAGGCAGCGCCAGCGCCGCCTGCGAGGCAGTTCTATTCGCAGCCCGGGCCCGCGGTCCCGATCGCGACAATGACGAGGACGACGCTGACGCTATGGAGCCGAAAGCTTCTCCTGGGGAGGGCCCCCCATGGGGGCGGCGTCACACATTCCCCCAGGGGGGGTCACAACCCCCCTCAGCCATCTGCTAGGAGTCTCGATCTGGCTCGGTTCACCGTTGCCGATCCGACCCGATTTCGCGATTCGATCTGGCTCAGGCCTGCAGAGGTCTTCTTTGTCGTCTTCGGACGCCGCCGTGGGTCGCCGTCGTCGGCGGCGTCTTCGGTATTTGTCACCGGAGGCCGTCATCGTTCTCGTCGGATCTCGTCGCCGAGGGCAAGGGTGACACCGACGGCAACACGCGGACGAGGGAGATGACGCGGACGACGAGGACGAGTGCGAGGACGAGAGGAGGCGGATGACAACATGCGGGGACGATCGAGTTGGAGGAGGAAGAGTTGGAGGAGGAGGAGAAGGAGTAGGGAATCGTGATAGTGGTAATCGTCGTCGGAACGTCGTCGTGGTCGGACGTCGTCGTCATGACTGGCTGTCGGCGTCCTCGGTCGTCGTCTTCGTCGGCGGCGGCGGTGGATGTCGTCGTCGGTGGTGGATATCGTCGTCAGAGGGAAGGGGAAGTGGAGGAAGGAGAGGGGGAAGGAAAGGGAAGAAAGGAAGTGGTGGCGGAGGGGGAGGGATGAGGCGTGTGAGGCAGCAGGGGGGCGATGAGGAGGAGAAGAAGAAGAAACTTGTGGAGGATGACGAGGAAGAGCAGGAGGAGGAAGGGGAGGAGGAGGAGGAGAAGGAGGAGAAGGAGGAGGAGGACGAGGGCGAGGGCGAGGGCAAGGGCGAGGTCGAGGAGGAAGACGAAAAGGAGGAGAAGGAAAGGATGCGGATGCGGTGGCGGTGGCGGTGGCGGTGGCGGTGGCGGAGGAGGAGGAGGAGGAGGAGGACGAGGGACGAGGAGGACGAGGAGGACGAGGAGGAGGAGGAGGACGAGGAGGAGGAAGAGGATGTGGTAAGCGTCATTATCCATTTTGGCTCAAGGTATCGCCGTGTGCGGAACCCCCACTTTCCAACGGGGCGCCTGGACGCATTCTTACAAGGGGAACCTTTCCTACTCCCCACCGTTCAACCGCACTGCCATGAAGTCTGGCCCCACCACCCCTGGTCCTCCCCTTGATGCGCCGCAATGGCCCCACGTCACCCCATGCGGTGGGTGGTTCTTGCGGCAATCGGTGAACCCTCCGTGGGCTAAGGTATGCTTCCACTGCGGAAGTCTCCTGTTCCCTCAGCCTGAGTCGTGCCCCCGCCAGGGAAAGGTCAGGCAGGCTTTTCCGTCTCCAACTGCTACCACCAGCCGTCCAGGGGCCACAAGGGTGGAGGGGGCGGGAAGTGGCAAGGACGCACAGGCAAGGGAGAAGGAGATGTGGGAAAAAAACGGAGGGAAAGGCGGCAGAGGTCGAGAAGGACGTGGTGGAGCCAGAGGTGCAGGAGGAGGAGGTGAAGGCCGAGGAGGAGCATGGGGAGCAACAGTTCGTATAGGACCTACCCCCCACAGCCTCCATCACGTGGCACAACAGGCAAGGTCTGAGAATAACGATAGACCGCAGAAATTTGTGGATCAGCTGGAAGACATCCACGCATCAGCCCAGGCCCGCAAATGAGACCAAGCTCATCCAAGCAAACAGCTTCAACGGCAGGAGCAAGCCATCAGCAAAGAAGGAAAAGCAACCTCAGAAGACCCAAGAGGAGTTTGAGGAAATTGAGCTTCTCATTGAGTCTTCGTCCACGTGCAAGCTGGAGCTGGTGGCTAAGGCATATCAGCCTGAGCAGGATCCTGCGAAGATGCGTGAAGAAGCGGCGGCCTGCGTCACCGACAGGCCCAACTCCTTTTGCAGAGTAGCTCAACCACAAGTTATTGTTGTGGGGGCAAGCCATTGAATTTCATCATAACAAGATGAGCTCCCACGGGCGCATGCAGCAATGTATTCGGCAGCAGTATCCGCATCAGCAGTGCCACGCATGGACTTGGGCGGGGAGGAGAACATGGCATGTGAGCAAGGCGCAGCAGTAGAGCCAAAAGGAGGAGCACAGCCATCCAGGGCTTGGCATGACAAGGACTTAGAGGAACTGGGCGAGGAGATGGGTTATTCCTTCCGTCAGACTCGCACCAGCAGCCACGGGGACATTGAGGGCTTCTTGAAAAAAGCTCAAAGGGCACCCAGGTCTTCGCCAAGGTATTCCCCCGTGGCATCGGCGATGATCCCTTAGCAGCAGTAGCCAAGATCTCTGAAACACTCAAGAGGGTCAAGGGCAAGAGTGGGGGCAACAGGGGGTCGCCGTCGTCGTCGGCAGCAGGGCCAGGCGGTGACCCACCCCGTGTTTAACATGCCAGTGCCACAGAAACGGACTCGCGGGAAAGCCAGCAAAACTCTTAAATATTTCGGCATCAGCACCATGAGTGTCATGTCGTGGGCTACAGGCGCGGACTTGCTTCCTCAAGCTTCGTCTGATTATGGCTTTCGTTCAGGAACGCAGGCTTCGCTCTATTGGGCTTGAGCAGGTGGCCGAAAGAAACGGTGAACACGTAAACGAGCAGGCTACAAAGTCCATGGTGTACAGGGCCTGGTCGGCCCCGAAGGAGGTTTTTCCAGTGGCGTTTGTATCCTAGCCCGGGGACATCACGAGTCTTGGACAGGCACATATTCGGTCATGATCCCAGGACGGATCTGCAGATGTTCCCATGGGCCCCAGGCGGGTGGAGTCATTTTTCTCTTCTCTGTCTACCTTCGCACAGGGAAAGGCCCCGGCTATTTCAACATGGAGATCCTCAGACATGGTGATCCCAAGATCGCTATTCATGGACGCGCCACCCTGGCAGGAGGTGACTGTCAACATTGATGTGAGCATCTTTGCTGACCATGTGGACCTCGGGCCACGTGGCCTCAAAATCAAATGCGCAACGGAGACTGCCCTTGCAGTCGTGAGTGACAGCGAGGTAGTTGCTAGCAGGTCATACTTATATTATTCCCTCGCCAGCGCGTTACCTACGCGCGGACTCATTGATGACTCAGTCATTCACCAGATTGCCCCCCCCCCCCCCCCCCCGCAGCGTAGTTGACCTTGCGCTTGCAGGGGCAACCAAGGACGTCGCGGTTTACGCGCCAGAGGCCTATCAGTCATATCCGACAGTCACAGCGATAGGCCCCATATTTCGTCTGGCAATGCCAGACCGACTACCAATACATCGTTTCTGATGTTCATGGCTGCGCATGTAGCCTAGCAGGGGCTTCTACGCAGCTTCAACCTGGCTTGGACTTCTTGGGCGCAACTCATGCCACATCGGCGCCAAAAGTGCCCGGGGCAATCGGCGTGGAAACGCGCGGGGCACCAGCGGGCAAACAGCCAGGTGAAGATTGTGAAATCTGGCACCTCTTCATCAGCTACTCCAAATTAAACGTCGCGACGAAGTGCCGCCAGAGGGATAGATTTTGGGTGCGCAGACGAACGCGCGACTTACGCAGCTTATTTTCTCATGTGCCAGCAGGTCAGCTATCCGCAGGTTTTGGCGCACAACTGATCAACGCGCTGATCAAACCGCCCGATGCAGGAGGCCTTTTCCGCGCCCGCTGGAAGGAAGGCGGTGGCCTATTTTATCCAAGGATAGCTGAAGTGGTTTCTGTTTTCCTGCTGCCCAGAACTCATGTTCTGGAGGTCTTATTGCGGGATCTACGCAGCTTTGCAGACATCTCATGCAGGGCAGGGCAGGGCTCTGGCGAGCGTCTCCAGCAGGAAAGTCAGCAGGGTTGGGCAGATCAAGCAACGGTGGGATCAGGACTAGCGCTGCGCGGGCACGCGAAGGAGAAAGATGCACATGGCACGGGTGAGTTCATCGCGGAAGAAGGTCTTTTGTCACCCATTCCAGGATTCATGAGTCGGCAGCTCTTGGCGAGGAGCCAGAAATGGGCGGCCCCGGAAGACAGCGTTCCAGAGCCCGGGCGGCTGAGCACCAGAAGACCCATATCCTTCCCAAGAGCAGCGGGCCCAGGGACCCCACAGACAATCGCCGAGAAATCCGCAGAGCGCGCCAGCCCCACGGGTTCCAATCCAGACATTTTGTTATGTCATCATAACCAGGGCTAGTTGTCATGGGCCTTTCAAAGTTATGGGCGCTCTGGCCAGCGGCCGCTCCGCCATGAGATCTACCCGGCTCCTCCTGGTCCGTGGGCGCAAACGTCCAGGGCGAAGACGCATTGCCCTCTTTCCAGGCATGCTACGCATCATTGGCAAGCCAGCAGCAAGGCAAGACTTGGGAAAGCCTGCGCGGGATGGGGAATTCTCAGCAACGCAGGGCAATTCGCCCGAGGACGCAGTATGGGGGCAGGCCGTCAGAGCGGAGCTACAGTCAGGCAGTGAGTGACAGTACTTGCCGCTTCTGCGGGGTATCACAGACTACTACGAGGACCTCGGCCACGAGATAATGGGGGACCAGGCAAACTTCACTTGCTATCCTCTGCGTATCTGGCTTGTTGATCATACGGGTTCATCGATGGCCCCGTGGGCTTTGGTTAGACGGTGCGACGTCTTCGAATGTTCCCCCCGACGAGGCATTGCAGCAGGTGGTTTGGCGGCAACGTATGCAGCCAACTCGCGCCTCGTGCCGCTTGTGACCCAGTCAAAGAGCCAGCATCGGAAGGTGTAGCAGCAATTATTTACACTGATGAACTTAACCTAAGCGCACGGGGTAGTAGGCACCATGGCCCACGTGGCTGCCCTGTTCTTCAAGGGTCTGGCAGGGCTCAACCTCCATCTCTCCATTCCGAAGCTTAACATGGTGGCGAGCGCAAATAAGCTCTTGGACAAAGCCCAGGAAGTTCTAAATGAATTGGGAGGGGACGCAGCACCAGCAGCTGTTAACCTTGGGCGCGCTCTTACTGTTGGACAACATGCGCGCAAGCTTCAGAAAGACGCTCCAAAGTCGGAGGCGGACCCGCGGTATCTTACGGTGCGGAGGCGGAGGTCTCCAACCCCACCCGAGTCAGGAACCTCCGCACATTAGGAGCGGCAGCATCAGGGCGCTTTACCAAGGCAGCCGACGATGCGTCGTGGTGGACCATCGTGCCCAGGCAGGACCCCGTCACTTTGATATCAATGGTGGTTGAGCGCTGCGCGTTAGAATGGTGGGGGGCATCCTCAGCGAGGCCTGCGCTGACCACCCATGCTGACATTTGGCAATCAAGTAATTCAGAGCAGCGTATGTAGCGTGTGGTCAGGAGCTAGCTGATGCCAGGAACGCCTGTTGGCTAGGTAAAGCCAAAGGACCCGTCTCTTTAATGCTGTTTTCTGGTTTAGAGAAGTAGGTTTCACCATGCCTAGTGCCATTCGCTGGTTTTTTTGTATAATGATTTTGCAGGGCAAGCGTAGGACATCCCAACTGTTGCCCCACGGCGCCTTGCCAACCCTATGGCGTATGATTATGTTGTTCTTAATGCGCCCCAGGAGCAGCCATTGCAGCAGCCGGCATCTGTTCGCAGGAGTGCGTCGTTCCAGACACCAGCGGACGCCGTGGCCGTCGAGTGGCGAATTGCGCCAGGCACGTGTTCCGCGGCACCCTGCCCACAGGCGACAAGCTAGCCGCCTGGGGGTTCAAGGAAGTAGGCCCCCTCAAATACTGCCAAGCCCCGGGCGCGGTGTCTCATCGCATCTGGCAGTGCTCTCAGGGAACTCCCATGCGAGACGAATATTTAGCAGACTACCTCGAAGCAGCCTTCGCAGCAGGGTCCGACGACTTGCTGTTCCCACGCCTATGGGTGGCCAAGCCCACAGAGCATGTGCCGCCGCCCAGCGGGACCTGGAATATTATGTTTTTGGTCGGTTCCGAATATGGGCCTTCCCAGCAGTGTAGGCCGGGGGTGTTTGGGCAAGTCGAACCCGCCAGACCTATTTACATCGACGGCTAATGCTGCTCGTAGAAGCCAGTCGGAGCCGAATGCCCATTTCCCTGCCCCAGACCAGAGGCCACGCTGCGCATGGGGATTCATGCTAGGAGCGGAGCTTTCGCTCGGGCTTTGTCAGGCCCCGTTTGCCGTAGATTGTGCTACCCTCACGGAAGGGCACCGCAGCCCAGGGCGCAGTATAGCAGCAACCGCCCCGCCAGACCAGCGGCCCCAGCTAGTTAGGACCAAGGCCCACAGGTCGGAAGCGAAGGCAGAAACAGCTCAGGACAACGATTTCTGGCAACACAGGGAGTCCCACCGAAAGCCCCAGCCGCACCAATTGCATGCCGCCCCCGTCCAAGTTGGCATACCCCACGCACTTATCGCGGCCCTACAGGGAGCTCCACCGAAGGCCCCAGTGGCATGGCCCACATGCCGCCCACCCTCCATGTTGGCACTCCCCTCGCACGTTTTGCGGCCCCATGGGGAGCTCCACCTCATGCCCCAGTGGCATGGTTCGCATGCCGCCGCTCCTCCATTTTGGTACACCCTTCACGCGCTTCGTGGCATCATAGGGAGCTCCCCCGAAGGCCCCGGTGGCATGATTTGCATGCCGCCCCCCGTCCACTCTGGCACGACCCTCACACGCTTCGTGGCCCCACAGGGAGCTCCACCGAAGGCCCCAGGTGCACTGTGGGCATGCCGCCAAACCCATGTTGGCACACCCCTCACACGTTTCGTGGGAGCACAGGAAGTTCCACCGACGGCCCCAGTGGCATGGTTCGCATGCCGCCCCCCTTCCACTTTGCCACACCCCTCACACTTTTCGCGGCCCCACAGAGAGCTCCACCAAAGGCCCCAGTTGCATGGCTCGCATGCCGCCCACCCTCCTTGTTGGCACACCCCTCACAAGCTTGGTGGCCCCACAGGAAGCTCCACCGAAGGCCCCAGCGGCATGGTGCTCATGCCGCGCCCCCCTGTTTGGCACATCCCTCACACGTTTCGTGACCTCAGCGGCATGAATCTCATGCAGGCCCCCTCCACTTCGGTATACCCCGCATACGTGTCGTGGCCCCACGGGGAACTCCACCGAAGGTCCCCGCAGCAGTGCCCGCATAGCGGCTCCGCCCCATTGCGGCGCACCCTTCGCGCGCTTCGTGCCCATAGAGAGCGCCACCGAAGGCAGTTCTCACAGCGGCGGTACGCACAGCTGCAAGTGGTCGGGTCTTTCGCCAGGATGGCTCAACACGACAGTGAGCGGTGCTGCGACGAGCGCCACATTTGAAAATCGGCTCCCTTTCCATCCCTAAAGTGGTTCATCTGTTGAAACTACGCTGCGCGGCGCTAAGACGAAAGTCGCGTGTTGAAAAGGGCACGCCCTCTATCACTGAGACTGCTTCAAGCTTTTCAACCGAAAGTGCGCGGCGCTCAATCGGAAGCCATCCTTGAACATGTTGCACAGCGTTTAGACGACTTGTGCGCGGCGCTAAAGCAAGAGCTACATGTTGAAAGCGTCCCGCCCTGCATCCGTGAAACAGTTGCAAATTCCAAGCTTCAGGATCAGAAATTGTGAGGGGTCTCAGCCGACACGCCCGGCCCTGCCTACGGACACGTTTGGGGCGGCGCGACAGGGAGGAGTTGTTTATAAGGAGAAGGAAAAAGAGTGGAGGAGGAGGAGGAGGAGAAGGAGGAGCAGTGCACAAGAATGCGAAACTGAAGATCGGCATGCAGGGTCCTCATCATGCGTGACCCTGCTGCAGTGTGCGGGATCGTCGCCCGCAAGTGCCAGCCTGCAACTGCGCAGGCGACTGCTGGAAGATCAAATGGATATGATGCCTGCTATCCTTAAGTCGGGCGTGCCCCTCTACAGGAGGAATATTCTAAAACGGTGAAACAAAGTCTAGGGACGATTTGTTGATTAGATTGTTTATAGCCTTATTTAAATGATTTTGGATTGTTTTTTCGTCCGTCCAAAATCCCTCTGTAGAGGAACAGGCCCGACCTGAAGCTATCCCCTGCTACCCGCCTCCCTGCGTGCATATCGCCAGCTCCCACCAGTCGCCACAACTTCGGCAGCGCAAGAACTGGTCCAGAAGGAACGTTCTGCAGCAGGAGCAGGCGGCAGGGGCAATGTCAGGGAGCTTGATGACCCACCTCGCCCAGGAACCTGCGGATTCGGTATCGGGGACTAATCGCCGATCTATTGGCGACGCATCGCTGATTCCAGCTCGAGTTTTCCCCCGCCGAGCCGGTCCCCCCCTAACGCTGCCCCTCAAAAGAGCAGGAGAAGGTGCAGTAGGATTATATGTCTTAAGTGCTTCAGCGCTTCAGGAGTAGGAGGACCCTCGCGGACGAGCCGCATCACACCCATCGGCCTGTTGCTGGCATCTGTGATTGGGCGTTTTCTCTACCCAGGACCCTGTTGCCCCCCGCGCGTGTTGCCTAATTACGAGCGCGACGGGGCGGGCGGGCGTCGGTCCGCCGATACTAACGCTGCGAGCTTTCGCTCCGCGGCTTGCCTAACAAAAAGAGGAGTAGGAGGAGGACCCCTCCCCAACAGGAGGAGGAGGAGGAAGACGAGGAAGAGGAGGACGACGACGACGAGAAGGAAAAGGAGGAGGAGGAGGGGAAGGATTAGGAGAAGAGGACCCTTCTCCCATCAGGCGGAAACCTCCGCGCCCTTGACCCCGCCCACCTCGCGCCTGCGGAGGCCCGCGCGTGGCGCGCGGAGCGCCGCGGTCTCGAGGCGAAGAAGGCCGCCGGCGTCGCCCGGGCCGGCCGCCGCCGCCGCCGCTGCTCCGAGTGCCCTCCTTAAGGGCCGCCGAGGGCCGCGGAGGGCCCGCCCGACGCTCCGCGGGGGGCCAGCGGTGTCCGGCGCGTGGGGGCGGGGGCCTGTCCGGCCGCTCGCGCTGCCCACCCGAGGGGTGCGACCGAAATTCAGAACTGCGGCAAAGTGCCTTGTGTTTTTGGACCCTGACCCAGCCGATCTGCGTGAGGTGTGTATTTTTTACCCACCCCAGCAATTCAGACACTAGGTTTTGGCCGTGGTAAACATGCCTGTTTGAGCTTCCCCCCCCTCGCGCGGTCCTTCAACAAGGAACAGTAAGCAGCAAGAAGCAGAACTGTCAGTGGAAACTGGAAGCTGCACAGAAGCACAACTGTAACGGTGGAAACTGGAAGCTGCAATTGGCACAGGAAACTGCGAACCTTCGCCCTACAGCCTGGTGGCCCCACAAGGGGGCCGGCGGATTTGCCTTTGCACCCCGCCCCCACATCGTGTCCTCTTCTTGCACATCGTTCCTTCACTTTACCCTGCAGGATGGCATTGCCATGCTGTGTGGCGATCGAGTATAATATCATGGCTTTCTTGAGGAGCAGCGGAGTTCTCTTACAGTCAGCGCGCCTCATAGGGACCATCGCCTTCATCTGGGGTGCCCTTGTGTCCTTGCCTCTACGGCCCCGTCCTGTGCCGTTATCGCTGGTCTCCCGCCGCCCCCCCAAAAAAAAAACACAAGTTCTGCCTTCGAGGGTGCGTCCTTACCACCCGTCCTTAATACACGTTTTGACTGGATCCCTCGGACGGGTTCTCGTTCGTGCCATTCGCTCTTGGCCGCCCTTTTCGTGCTGGCCAGTGTCGCTCCCCCTTCTCCACCTCCTCCTCCTCCACCTCCTCCTCGTCCTTCTCTTCCTCCCCCCCCTCCTCCAAAGTTTTTCGGTCTTCCCAGATGGCGCGCTGCATCGCCGATGCATCGGCGATGCGGCTCGATGTGGAGCCCGATCGTCTCCACACGGACATCGCTGATGCATCGCCTACGTCGCCGGCGACGCATCGGCGATGCAGCGCGATCTTACGACCCCAGCTGTTCGGACTCCATTTATGGGAGGGGAGGCCTCCAAGGTCTGGATTGCATGCGCAGCGAGCCTGACACCTGGCTGGGCGTTGACGGCGACGGGGCCTCTCGACGCTGTCGGGCGAGAGAGACAGGTCAGGGGAAGCGTTTGAATCCAGCAGAATGCGGGGGGCGATTGCGCAATTGCTGGGGCCGCTAGCAGGGCAGCATGCAGCAGAGGACCTCCCTTCCCGCCGCGTCCTCGCCTTCCCCCTTCTGGTCACGCGACAGGAGGAACTGGAGCAGTCGCTCGCGGAGACGAGCATGGAAATCGAGGACTGCCCGCTGCCATGCGCCGCGCCTTGTTGCGCTATCGAGGGGAAACGTTCCCAGGCCTCCAGATTCAGCACGTAAAGACACAGCCGCCGTTCTTCTCGCAATGTCCAGTGCCCAAGGGGCCAGGCGCGCTGAAGCACAGCATTCCAGAAAGCTCTTGAACGGCCGCCGCGCCCGTTACTTCTCCAGAGCCGCCAGATTTCAGGGATCCCCGATTTGACCCGTCCGACTTTGTCTTGGTCTTGGTCTCTTCTTCGTCGAGAGTCCTGCGGGCCCGCGTCGTGTAACAGTTACGACTCCAGCAGAACGGGATGCCTGTCTTCGGCAGCCGCTTCGCATGTCCCCACGGCAGGCCTGTGTGTTCTGCAATGGCATCCACCCGAAGGTGGGCTCGTCCGGCCCAACTAGGCGCAAAAGGGGGCCCGCGGCGGTCTCAACACTTTGACGCACAATTTCCTCTTGCAGCTGTGTGCCCCGGGAGGGTGGTGGCAATGCTTCTGTAGAGCGCGTGCGTAGTTAGTTCTACCATGAAGCTCCCCCGAAGACGCAGCGGATCTTGGCCGGCAGTTTCGAGGTCCCCACCAACGACGGGGGTTCGGTATACCAGTCCCCATGATCAGAATCTGCATTTGCGCGACGATATCAAATTGTAGAAAGCGTCTCCCAATACCCCATCGGTCAATGGCGGGGACGAGGAGAGGCGGAGTGCGCGGAGGGCATTGTAGAGGTCCGAACAAATTCAACAAGTGTCTGGCTGTTGAGTTCCCACAGCAGCAGGGGTGCCTCGGCGAGAATGCCCTCAGAGACTGGACGAGGCAGCGCCAAGTGGGGAGCAGCCGTGCGGCGGGGTGACGAGGACCACGTCGGGTCAGGCACTCGCAGGAGGGGCACGGAGGGAATGCTCGCGTTGTCAAGCATGCGGACATGGACGTTCTGGAAGAGCATCGTTCCCCCAGCGGCGCTGTGCGCTGTGGTCAGGAGTGGGGATGCCAGCCGGCGGGGGCTGGCGGAGAAGGTTCAGACCGTGGCAGGTGGTTGCCATTGCTAGCTCTCGCTCCGTCCCTTGGTCGATCGTCGTTGACGTCTGTGGCTTCTCTCGCGGTCTGTCCTCTGCGCATCCTGTTGGTGGTGGTATCATTGCCGGACGGCCTGCCGGAGTGCGGCTCGAGCCCCTCAGCGCCCTGCGCTCGTTTTGTGAACCAGCTGGTCACCGCCCCCGAATTGCGGCGGCGGCAGCTGGGTCCGGGAGCGAGAGGGGGGGGGCTGGCGGGTCGTCGGTTGGCCCGAGATCAAGATGCGACAGATGGATCCGACGTTGCGAGATTGCAATGTCCATTCCGATATGATCGTTCCGAGTCGAGTTCGATCTTGACTGGCCCTGTCAGATTCGATATCTCTTTGTTCCGACCATCCGATGTGGCCTGCTGTTGGCGTGGCGCTGTTGTGCACCCAGGCGCGGCCGAGCCGACTCGATGTTGTTCCCTGCCGGTGCAGCCAGACCCGACGCAATTTCCGAGTCGATCCGGTTTCAAGCAGTGGCGAAGCGTCCTGGCTTGCCCATAGAGTCCCACCAAGGGATGTTCTGAGAGCAGCTTTGGGTTCTAGGGCACTTTCTGGAATGCCGGGACGGCCGGTCCCTGCTCCTCGATCTACCAGTTCGCTGCTGGCTGCCCCTGGGTGGGGGGCCTGCTGGATGGCCGGCCGTGCGTGCTCGCTCTGCCCTGCCCGACCCCTGCTCCGCGGCGCGGCCCAGGACCGCGAAGAGCTGATACGGACGATGCAGGACCGACCTGCCTCTGCCGCCGACGCTGCCCCGCCCTGCCCACTGCGTGTCCAGGGGAGTGAACGATGGCATGAGCACAACAATTCGGAGGTCCGCGCGGATTCCTCGCATCCGCGCCAGACCTCCCTGGCGGCGCCTCCGGCGCCGCCTTTGGCGCGCGGAGCAGGGAGGGGGTTCCAGCGCCGATCCGAGAAATCCGCGCGGACCTCCGTGTTGTTATGTTTGTGTCATTTCTTGTTACTCTAATCTCATCTCTATGTTTCTGTCGTGCTGGTTTTCGTTCAGGCATGAAGCATCTGCTCTCATCGGGGGCGCGGAATCGCAATGAATCTGCCCAAGCTATTCGCGCATGGTTGCCTCAGTCGAGCCATGTTTGCCCAACGCCCACTTGCCCTTGCATTATCTACAGTTGGAGTGTCTTTTGTCATTTGTCAGTACTGCCTCATGTTTATCCTTGCCTTCGACTTGTCTTTTGCACCCTCTTCTGAGTGCATCAGCAGGATGCGGCGCGCATCGTGTATGTTGGTTGCATCACACAAGTGTTTCTCTCCCCTTGCCGCATCACACGCATACCTATGTGTGTGCGTGTTTATCCCATCGCGCTCATATCGGCATGTATGTTCCTCCTGGTTACAGGTTGTCGCATGATTCCCAACCCTCTCGTGCCGTTGTTCCTCGTTTGGACTTCGCGAAGCCGCGCGCATCTCACTCGTTTAATATTTTTCCTTCTTCCTCTCGGATTATTCATCATTGCCGGCACCAGCATCATCAGGATCATTAGTTAAGAGTACCACGGCTACAATCGTCAGCATCATCATTATCGTCCGTGGCATTATCACCAGCACCATCATCAGCATCGTCATCACCACCACCACCAGCTTCATCATTTTCACATTCAGCATCAGCAGCATCATCATTAGCACCACCATCATCACCACCACCATCATCACCATCATCAACAAAAATCATCATCACCGTTATCACTGTCATGATCATCATCAGCATCACAGCTCATTTTGCCTAGGCGATTGCGGGGCCTCAGGTGCTTCCCCTCGGCACTTGCCGAGGTTTGCTTCCCCATGGTGGTCCTGCAGTGGCTGATCTGTGTTCGTCGGCGCATCGAGAAGGGGGCTCCGATGCTCATCGCTGTGTCGGCGGAGGGCTAAGGTCAAGGCCAATCCCCCCTACCTCGGTTACGGTTTGTCGGCTAGTGTTGGCGCATGTGGAATGCGATCACTCTCGCGCAAGAGGATGCCGTGGTCGATCGCGGGCAGGGCAATCAATGGGGCCCAAGAGAGTGCCATCAACACCTGGTTCTCTCAGCTTCCTGGATTTGCTGCACATGGCGCTGGGCCCGATGGCGACGGTCCAGGTGGCCCGCCAGATGATGCTGGCTCGGATGGCCCTCCAGATAGACGCCACCGACGCCCACGACCTCGTGGTGAAGATGTTCCTGATCCTTAGCAAGTTCCACGTTGTGATCACTGGCCGCTACCGTCCTAGCGCAGGGTGGTTCCTGGCCCTCCTGCCAAAGTTCCGCGGCAACACGGCCATCGCGGACTTGCCCGTGGTGTTCGTGTTGATGCAGATCTTGGGTCCGATCCCCTTCACGATCTTCCGTTCCGTGGTGCCCCCGTTTCCCTTTCAACAAGGACGCCGAGCTCGTCGTACCTAGGGTTGTCGACGTGCCTCCTGGGGCGGTCCCCGTGGCGCCTGGTGCGAACATTGATAGCCTTCTTCAGGAATTTGGCGGTGCTGATTCTCTTCCTGGTGTACTTGTCTTGCATGGTGTTTCAGATCCTCGTGGCCGAGATGCTGGTGCACGTCTTCTAGAACCGCGGGGGGCTGTGCCGATGCTGCAGTTCATAAACACAAACACACCCATACACACATGCACACACACACACGCACGCGCTCTCTCTCTCTCTCTTTCTCTCTTTCTGGAGGTGGTCACTTTTAGGTTTTCCTTGCGCGGCTTCTCAAGCCAGTGGCGAATGCGCAGAAGAATTTCTATACTACGCTCGCGAGGAGTGTCGGTTCGCCTGGGCTGTCCTCGGGCGCGGCATTTTCATCGTGAACATGGCGGTGATCACGTCCTGCGTGAGATTTGTGTGGCATCCCGGGGGATCGGCCGACAGCTGCGACGGCATCTCGCCCCTGGATCTTTGCGGTCGTTCTTCTTGGCCGTTGGAAAGGTTCATCGGGCGCAACGCGGTGGTCATTGAGGCCGAAAGGTCACGGCGGTCAACGAGCAGGTCCTCTCCATTTAGAGTTTTCATTCGGGCGAGAAGGGGCTCTCAGACGCGAGTGGCGCGCGGGAGGTCAGCAACCCGTCCAGCACTCGGTAGTGAGCGGGAGGTGGCTGCTGGTGGACCCGTTGGCGCATGTGAGCAGCAGTGCCCCAGTGGCCTTTTCCACCGCGGTCTCGCTCGGCTTCGTGATTGTTGGCGGTACGGGGTCGTTGCTTTCAGGGCCGCCATGCCGCATGCAGCCTGCCCAGTTATTCTGTCCATCGCGAGTTCGGTCTTGTCGTGTGTTTGCCTCCACTTGCGTTTCGTGTGCGCCGCGGGCTTCGCCCTCCCTCAAGGGCCTGAAAATCGGTCGTCGGATGGGTGCCCAGACATCATCAGCATCATCATCAGCATCATCATCAGCATCATCATCATCCTCATCATTATCAACATCAGCATCATCATCATCCTCATCATCATCATCAGCATCATCATCATCATCATCATCATCATCATCATCATCATCATCATCATCATCATCATCATCATCATCATCATCATCATCATCATCTTCATCTTCATCTTCATCTTCATCATCAACATCGTCAGCAGCACCATCATCATCTTCATCATCGGCCTTCGGGGGCCGGTGGGGGTCTTGGCTGTTTTCGGTTCCCTTCGGTTCCCATGGGCCTCTGGAGGCCTTCGCTGCCTTCGGGGCTGTTCGCAGCTCTCGGTGGCCTCTGGGGGCCCTCGGAGTCCCTCGGCGGGCGGCGGCGCTGGCGGTCTTCCTCGAGCAGGAGGCGACAGCTTATGGGCAAGGCCGCGGGGGGGAAATGTACTCATCGCACCTACGGGTGACTTCCACTCCCTCCGTTCTCCTGGTCCGGCAGTTGCGCATTGCGTCGATATGAGGCGGCCGGGTCCCTGCTGGAGAGATCCCCGCAGAGAGGCCTTCCCCTTTTCTCCATGGCGTTAGCTTCCCGTTTGAAGGTGCGGTTCGTTTGCGTCGGCCTGAGATCGGATGTGAGCAGGAGCGGGCTGCGCCCCCGTGGGCTGCGACCCGCCCTCCTCCCTGCCCTTGCCGCGCGAGCGAGCCTGCCCATTCCCTGGACAGACGCCGCGGAGTCGACGCAGTCGCCACTTTGGCGCTGCTAAAAGGGACCCGAGCCCGCGGGCACAACGCACAATCTCGTGGGGACACCTACTTGCCTACCTACCCCCATCCCCCATCCTTCGCACCTCATTCCATCCTTCCCCCACCTTCCCTCATGTCTCTTCCCTTCTCTCCTCCTTGAGTCTTTCATACCCATCCTTCTCCTCCTCTTCCTCCTCCTCCTCCTCCTCCGCCTCCTCCTCCTCCCTCCCCCTCCCTCTCCCGTCTTTCCTCTTTTCTGCGCCCCTCCGCCGATTCGCCCCGCAGGAGGAGGCCACGGCGGCGCTGGGCGAGTTGGGCGCGGTGACCACGCCCAGGGCCGGCGGCCCGGGCGCGGGAGGGGGAGCATCGGCCACGGAAGAAAAGGGGGAGGAGGAATGAGCAGGGATGTGGAAGAGGAAGGTGGAAGAGGGGGGAGGGGGAGGGGGAGGAGGAGGAGGAGGAGGAGGAAGAGGAGGAGGAGGAGGCCTGGTGCCGGGGCGGCGACTTCTTTTGGTGACTGTGATGGTGATGCTGATTATGATGATGATGATGATGATGATGATGATGATGATGATGATGATGATGATGATGATGATGATGATGATTGTGGAGACGCTGATGATTACGACGATGATTGTAATGATGATGATGATTATGAGTATGATGCTGATGTTCATGATGAAGATGGTGGTAGTGTTGGTGATGATGATGACGCTGATGCTTATGGTGGCGATGATGATGGTTACTGTCATGATGATGACTGTGACGGTGGCAATGGTGGGGATGATGCTGATTCTGATGATGATGTTGATGATGATGATGGCGAGGGTGACGACGCTGGTGACGACGATGATGATGATGTTGGTCATGATGTTGGTGATGGTGATGATGGTGGTGATGGTGATGATGGTGATGATTCTGTTGATGGTGATGCCGATGATGCTGATGATAATGATGATGATGATGATGATGATGATGCTGATGATGATGATGATGATGATGGGGAACTATGTGATGATGGCGATGCTTGTTGGGCTGATGGTGATGTTGTTGGTCACGGTGGTTCTGTCGATGGAGGTGACAGAGGTGACGGTGATGCCAATGACGATGGTGTCGGATTCATGGTAGTTGTGGTGATGTTGGTGATGTGCATGTTGCCGCTGTTGGCGGTGGTGATGTTTATGCTGTACATGATGATGCTGTTGATGATGATAATGATGCTGACGATCATCATGATGATGATCATGCTCTTGATCATGCTCCTGATCATGATCATGATGGTGGTGGTGATGATGATGACGACGATGGTGGTGGCCAGGGTGTGCTCTACAACATCGGAAGTGATACTGTTATGCTTTTAAACATCTGCATGCGTCCAATCAGGATATCGCCACACGTTATGGCGGGAAGAGAACGGTGACCACATGCAAAACTCACATACCTGAAGCGCCCAAGGCGCGTCGGCACGCCGACGAATACGAGGTGAACCGCGCACCTCACGACCACCAGCTCCTGCCAGCGAGAGAATGAGAGAAAGAGAGAGAGAGACACAGAAAGAGAGAGACAGAGAGAGAGAGAGAGATACATAGAAACACAGAGCGAGAGAGCACCAGAAGAGCTACGAAGTGATGATGATGACGATAATCGGATGCAGGATGGGCACCGCAGCCAACAACCGGAGGAGATCTTCAGAGGTTCCCATGGGCCCCAGGCGACGGGGTGCTTCAAGTAAAGCAGAGAGCGCGACCAAACACGTCGATCGATTTTCGATCGACGACAGCGGCGACGGCGACGTCGGGGCTCCTCCTCCTCCTCCTCCTCCTCCTCCTCCTCCTCCGGACGATGGCGGTGTATTTGGACCGCTCTCGCAGAGTGTCCCGCGCGCGTGCGCCTCGCGTATCATCAAGGCCTGCAAGCCTTGGGTGGTGGTGGTGAGTAACTGCGTCCACCGAGGAGGGGAACATCACACATGAAGAAGAGCAGGAGGAGGACACGGAAAAGGACGAGGAGGAGGTGGAGGAAGAGGAGGATGTCGAGGAGGACGAGGAGACGGAGCAGGCGGAGGATTCAGGAATTATGTCAGGCCGCCCGCGATGGTCCGAGGTGTGGTATCAGGCGAGCTATTCGCTCCTCCTCCGCGCGCGAGTGTTCAGCGCAGCACGCTGCCCTTCGCCGCTGGCAGGACGGATCACGAGGATGAGCATCGCATCGCTCGCCGCTCGCCCTTCGAGCGCTCGCTTGCGCGCCCTTCGCCCCTCGCGTTCCTGCCGCCGCCCGCCGTCGGCCCGGCGGCTCAGCTTGAGCGCGGCGCGCTGTCATATTGTTGATTGCCAGGGGGGCGGTCAGGACGCTGAAATGAGGAACGGTTCGGGTTTGGAAGGGTTTCGCTGTTCCGTGTAGGTCCTTCAGGGCTGTTTCTTCGACGCTCTTCGAGCACCCAGGCGATTTGGGGGCCAAACATGGGACCGCTCCTTCTGTCGCGCCCCGCGTGGTAGTAACTCGACTGTGCGTAAGGATACCGTGCTACGTCAATGGTTGCCCCTGCATCGTTGCCTGCTCTGTACATCCCTGGCCCATGTTTCACGCCAGCTTCTGAGGGTACCCAGGATCCAAGGATCTTGCATCTTTACTTGACGCAGTTTTCTGGTGGTTGCATGCAGCGGGAAACCCAGATTGTAGACGTCGTGTGTTTTCATGACGCGGACCCTCCGTGCTGTCGACCCCATCCCATCGGGCCAGCGTTCCGCCGCGAGCCCTGTTTGGGGTGGCCCGGGCGCCTTGGGAACGATGACGCTGCATGCGCCCTGCCCCGACTCCAGTCCGCGACGCCCCAGCCAGCCCGGAGCCAGTGGCGGCCAGAGCGGCAGCGGCAAGGGTGGGGAAGCGAGGAAACACCGACACCGCTACTCCACGACCTCCCCCGGGGGCACTTCCTGACCAGGTTTTCGGGATCAACCGGGCCGTGGCGACGAGGGAAGGGCAGTGGTACTCGTGTCTCTTCCTCCTTTGCACAGGCCCCCTGCCTTCCCCGACGCATCCTCGTCGTGACAGCGTGCCTCGCTCGGGCAGTGGCAGTGGGCGGCGGCGCGGGCTCGAGGTCGGCGACTACAACGGGAGTGGCTGCGCCAGGGTGTGCTTTGTGATCTGCGTCGTGGAGGCCTGGGGGGCACCGCGTTGCCCTCGTCGGGTCTCCTCGGGGCACGGCGGAGAGCTCTGTCGAGCTCCTCGCCAGCCCTCCGGGGTGCCGGTTGCAGACCGCACCCTTGGCAAACCACACCCTGCGGAGTCGCCGACGGGGGGACGCCGAGGCGCGCATGCGAGCGCGTCGGGGCCTCGGCGGGGCCGCGCCGCCCGCTGCCCGCAGGCCGAGGCGCCGGGCTCCCTGCCATCCTCCGTGGGCCGCGGGAGCCCCGCCGGCGGCGCGTGGGCCCTGGGCGGCGGCCTGCAGGACGCCGGCGGCGCGTGGGCCATCCGGCGGCGGGTTCGCGGCGGCGCCTCGCGGCGGCGCGCGGCGCGCGACGGGGGAGGTCGTTGCGGCAGCGGCGGCGGCGAGGGCGGCGGCGGCGGCGGCGGCGGGGGTGGCGGCGAGGGCGGCGGCCGCGGCGAGGGCGGCGGCGGCGCGTCGCGTGGCGGCGCGCGCGGCGGTGGTTCGTGGCGGCAACGGCGACGACGTGGCCAGAGATCTCCCCAACTCAGGGGCGAAAGAAGGACGCACACGTGCGTGAATCCGCTTTGGTTTCGAACATACAGCTCGCGCGAACGTTCGTAATTATCACGACTCTGGCCTCGAGAATTGGGGGGCGATATTTCTGTAGGTGGTTTAGCGCGTACGTTTTTCTGTGGGTTCCCTACCACCGAGCGGTCCTGAGAGCAGGCAGTGCTGCTGGCCGTTTAGCCTGCCAAACGGGCGGCGCTGCTTCAGTTACTCAGGAGGCAAGATCTTGAAGTCTACGATAGCTCGTCGTACTGTTCGTCAGCATGGCCATCTCGGTTGTGCCAGCTGCCGACGTCATTGCTTTCATGCCGATCGCGATCATTCCCGCGGCTTGGGGCAGCCATGCTCCAATTTTTGACGTCGAGGAAGACTCGCGCCGAGCGGGGCACTGGGCCTCTCGGCGAGGCCATTCGTGCTTCACTCTCGCGCTTTGCGCCGAGAGCGCGATCGGCTTCAGCGCTCGATGCCGCCAGCCAGCCCAGAGCGAATCTCATGTGAACTCGAGTTAGGGTCATGCCACGGCCTGGGCTGGAGCAAGCCTGGCAACTATTCGAATGCATTGCGCGTGTGTGTGTGTGTGTGCGTCTGCATATGCGTGTGTGTGTCCATATCGTGGTCGATGATCCTCAGGACGTGTGTTAGCCCGTTAGCCAAGTGTGTGTGTGTTTTTTTCTCGGTCAGCTCCACCCGCAGCACACAGGGTGTGCCGGCCCTCATCACCCCACCTGCGTTGTATTGAAGGGCCTGGGTGGATAAGCGCACGTTGGCGCTAACGCACGCTCTGAGGATCACCGACCTGGATTCATTGCACAGGCCGTTGCTGCAATGCCTCGCCGGAAGCAAAAGATGCATTCCGGCGCATGTGATTCTTTCGCACGACGCCTGTGCGCGCAGGAGGGCCCACGGCGCCTCTGTCGCAGGAAGAACCAGACGAGCAGCGGTAGCAGCGTCGTGCGGGAACGGCATCGACAATTGGACGATGTTGTTGCGCCCTGTGTTTTGAATATCTCAGTCGTGACCATACGAGACTGGCTCGTTGCTGCTGGACACTGCGGAGCGTAGGTGCACACGTGGATGCAAAGGGGTCACGCTCTGCACGTGCTTCGACCTGACTTCGCCCTCGCCCTCACCCCCGCCTTCACCTTGACCTTGACGTTGACCAGGCCAGAAGACAATCAAACGGTATTGGGATGGTAGGTCGATTTCTGAATTGCCATCACGTTTCTTTGTTGATTATGTTTCTTCTTGACCGCCGAATGAGGATAGGCATTCAAAATTGTTCATGGTTCCCTGGTCCCTCAGAGCGGCTGGGCGACGACCGTGGCCCGTGTTGTGCGCACACTCTCACCTCAAATCAGCAGCTCTGGGCCTGTCGGTTCTCAGTGTGTCACTGTGGGATTATGGGGGCTCTGTTTGCCATGCTTTGTGTTCTCTAGCGGGTTCTCCGCTCAATCCGTCATTTGCTTTGCAATGTGCGCTACCTTCTGGTCCCAGTCGGTTGATCCCGCATCCCTTCGGCCCGATTCGGGGAACAAGTGTGTACGGGGGTGTTGTTTCTTGGGGGAGGAGAGTCTTACTCGTCGCGTGACCCCAAAAGGGTCGCCGATCGATTTGGTTGGGTTCTTGTTGGCCTGGTGGGGTGCCCTCTCTATCTCTTTCCTTCTCTTTCTCTGTTATGTCAAACTCCCTCCGTTGCCCTCTTTTGGCTCTGGTTTGGGCCCCTGAGCTCCCAGCCGCAGATCTGTTGCCATGCGCATCCGGCTACTGCAGATAAACAAACATCATTTGGGTACGGGCACTCGTTCGGGCTATCCCTGGATCGAGGGTCCGTCTGGCTGCTCCTAAGCCTGCATACCTCAGACCCCGACCTCCGTCGCCTTGCCATCTTTTTGTTGAGTCCGGGCCCAGGCCGCATTCCGAGCGCGCGGAGAAGGAACTCCCGGCGCAACATCAGCCGCAATGTCCGCTTTCCAGGCGCGGACAGCCAAAAGCGTGAATCCCCGAAGGCCCAAACCCCTTCGCGCGTCGTGGGCAGAAAAAACGCCGGACTTTGTTGTTGTTGTTGTTGTTGTTGATGTTGTTGTTGTTGTTGTTGTTGTTGACGAAACAACTCACTGGCGCCGGCCCCGACCCCCCCCCCGGCGCAACGCAACGCAGCGCAACGCAACGCACGTTACCCCGAATCCTTTAGGATTCCGATGGGAATCCTATAGGGTCTCCGCGAACCTCAGAGGAATCCTATAGGAATCCCACAGAAATCCCATAGGGCCTCAAGGAATCCTATGGGAATCTTATAGGAATCTTATAGGGCCTTTACGTATACTATGGGAATCCCATAGGAATTCTTTTCTGGGAATCCTATAGGGCCTGTTCTGCAAACCCGATTGGAATCTTATAGGAAGCCTGTGGGAAACCTATAGGGCCTTAAGGATTCCTATGGGAATCCCATCGGAATCCCATGGCAATCCTATGGGGCTTTCAGAATTTCTATGGGAATCCCATGGGACTCTTTTTTGGGGAATCCCACAGGGTCTTCATGAATCATGTACGGATCTTATAGGAATCCTTTTTGGGAATCCTATAGGGCCTCTGCGGAGCCTACATGCTTCGTGTAGGAATCCCAGAGAAATCCTACAGGGCCTCTACGAATCCTATAAGGATCCGATCAGATTCCGATGGGAATCCCAGAGGGCCCCTACGGATCCTATAGGAATCCAATTGGAATCCCATAGGAATCCTATAGCGCCTGATTCCTATGGGAACCCGTTAGGAATCCGATGGGAACCCTATAGGGCCTCTGCGAATCCTACGGGGATCCTATAGGAATCCTACGTCAATATTATAGGGCGTCTCCGATTCCTATGGGGATCCCATAGGAATCCTGTAGGGCCTCTACGAACCCTATAGGATTCCTAGGGGAATCCCATAAGAATCCTACAGGACCTTTCTACGAATCCTATAGGAATCCTTTAGCAAACTCATCGGAATCCTGTAGGGCCTCTGCGACTCGTATCGGAGTTCTATAGGAGTCTCATCGGATTTCTATAGGGCTCTTACGAACCCTTGAGGACTCCGATAGGAATCTGATAGGAAATCCCAGAGGGCCTTTGCACATCCTATAAGATTCCCATCGGAATCCAATAAGGCCTCTATAAATCCTATCGGATTCCTGTATGATTTTTAAACGTATCCTAGGGCTTCCACGGATCCTCTAGGAATCCTATCGAAATCGAATAGGAATCCTAGAGGGCCTCTGCGAATCCTATCGGAATCCTGTAGGAATCCAATGGGAATCCAAAAGGCCTCTGCGAATCTTATAGGAAGGGCTTTTACGAATCCTGTAGGAATCCTGCAGGAAGCGATTACGAATCTGATGGGAGTCAAAGTTAAAAGTCTTATAGGAATCCCATAGGGCCTCTGGCCTCACAGGGAGCTCCTCCGAAGCTTCATTTCGGCACACCCCTCTCGAGGATCGTGGCCCTGGCCTCAGAGGGCCCCTCCGAAATTTCGTTTCGGCACATTCTTCTCGAGGATCGCGGCCCTGGCCTCGCAGAGGGTTTCTCCGAAGCTTCATTTCGGCACACGCCTCAAGGATGATCGTGGCCCTGGCCCCACAGGGAGCTCCACCCACGCCGCTCCACCGAAGCTTCATTTCGGCACACCCCTCTCTAGGATCGTCGCCCTGGTCCCACAGGGAGCTCCACCGAATTTTCATTTCGGCACACCTCTCTCGAGGACCGTGGCCCTGGCCCCACAGGGAGCTCCACCGAAGCATCATTTCGGCACACCCCTCTCGAGGATCGTGGCACACACCCCACAGGGAGGCCCACCGAAGCATCATTTCGGCACACCCCTCTCGAGGAGTGTGGCCCTGACCCCACACCGAGCCCCACCGAAGCATCATTTCGGCACAGGTCTGTCGAGGACCGTGGCCCTGGCCCCACAGGGAGCTCTTTTCGTTCCCGTGCCGGCCCAGCTTCTAATTCGCCTTTGCCGTGCATGAGGCACGGCGGCGGATTTGACTCCCGTGGCTCTGGTGGCCTTGCGGCTGACGTGGGCACGCTCCTCTCCATCTCTTCATTTGTGGTTCAAGCCATTTGGGCATGCGCCTTCCACCCTCTGGGGCAGGCCATTCAGGGACGCCGGGCAACACGCCGGGACCCATGGGGATTCTATGGCAGCCCTTAGGGATTCAATAGCAGCCCTTATGGATTCTAGAGCATTCCTCAGGGATTCTATAGCATCCCTCAGGGATTCTATAGCATCCCTTCAGGATTCTATAGCATCCTCTTAATGATTCTATAGCATCCCCTTAGGGATTCTATAGCATCCCCTTCGGGATTCCATAGCATCCCTTTTCCACGGGTGGTATAGCATCCCTCAGGGATTCTCTGGTATCCCTTAGGGACTCTATAGCATCCTTCAGGGATTCTCTGGCATCCCTTAGGGATTCTATAGCATCCACAGGGATTCTACAACATCCCTTAAGGATTCTATAGCATCCCCTTTAAGGATTCTATAGCATCCCTTAGGGTTTCTACAGTATGTCTTAAGGATTCTATAGCATCCCCTCAAGAATTCGATTGTGGATTATATAAAATCCCTTTTCAGGATTCTATAGCATCCCTCAGGGATTCTATGGCATCCCTCGGGGATTCTATAGCATCCCTTAGTGATTCTGTAGCATCCCTTAGGGATTCTATAGCAGCCCTCATGGATGTTAAAGCATCCTT